CCACATACAAACAAAGATGTTGTGTCTGCCAAAAACTAAAAACAAAAAAAAATAAAAAGATTACAGATCAGGGCTGAAAATATAGCTTAGTCAGTAGAGTGCTTATTAAAAAAAAAAAAAAATAGGGCTGGGGATGTGGTTCAGTGGTTGAGTTTCCCTGAATTCAACCCCCACACTCTCCTCCCCACCATGCCAGAGAAAAAAAGAAGTTCTTTTCACACCCTGTAAAATTGGTTTTGTAAAATTTACAAATTAAATTGGTACTTAACTTTCCATTTTGTGCTGTTCATAAGGTTTTAATGCCTTATAGGCATTATAGGGTGTACTACCTTTGTAAAATTAATGGGATAGCTTTTCTTTTCTTCCCCCTCACCTGAAAAGTTCCCCTGGTAACACTTTTTTCCATTAAAGACTGTTTTAAAGGTAATTGATTCATTTTGTCGTCTTTTTAATCTTTCACCATTGTTTTACTTGTGTTTTATTCTTTGGACCAGTATTAATAATGTATTCTTGCCTAGAAAGTTGTCCATTTCATACCTATAAATACTAGTCTTATTTTGCCTCTTTATTTATAATATTACTCTGTTTACCTTTTCCTCTCAACTAGGTTATAGGTTGTTTATTTTTCTTTCCAAAATACTAGCACCTGGATAATTTTATGAGTTTTGGTGTTATTATTTGTTGTTATTTTTCAAATGTTGTTTAAAAGGAAGGGTTTTAGTTCATTTTATTTTTTAAGTAAATTTTATTGTGTATATTTGAGGTTTATAAACTTATCAGATACTTGGAAACAGTGAAGTGGACTGAAATGAAGTAGGTTAACATGTCTGTCATCTTACCTTTTTTTAAAATATATATATTTATTTTAGTTGTAAATTGATTTTTATTTTATTTATATGTGGTGCTAAGACTTGAACCCAAGGCCTCACACATGCTAAGCAAGTGCTCTACCACTGAGCCACAATCCTAGCCCCATTTCACTTACTTTTTGTGTGTGACAAAGCAGCTATAACCTACTTATTTAACAAAAGTCCACAATATACTACAATTTTATTAATATTAATTTTCATATTACAATTAGGTTTTTAGACTTGTTGCATATCTTAAATATTTTCTATTTTCCATTCTTTGACTTAACATCTCCTTATTTCTTCTCCCACTTAAAGGAGTTTTGATGTCCTTTTTGACATAGCTGTTTATAAATGCTTTTATTCTCAAAGAAATGTTTGCTCAGATTAAATTTATTGATTTTTACAATGATCCTTTTAAAATTCTTTTTTTGAAGGCACGGGATGTGCGTACCAATGAAGTGGTGGCCATCAAGAAAATGTCTTATAGTGGAAAGCAGTCTACAGAGGTAGGTTAAATATGTACATTTTTATTTATATGTTAGGGAATGAAATACTATTTTTAATTGAAGACAAAAAGTTTGAAATCTTTTAGGAATTTTAATGTATAATATACACAAAAGTGTACAAGCTGGGCATGGTAGTGCACACATACCTGTAATCCCAACAGCTCTGGAGGCTGAGGCAGGAGGTTCGAGAGTTCAATGATAGTCTCAGCAAAAAAAAGCAAGGCGCCTAAACAACTCAATGAGACCCTGTCTCTAAATAAAATATAAAATARGGCTGGGAATGGGCTCAGTGGTCAAGTGCCCCTTAGTTAAATCCCCAGTACTGCCCCCCCCCAAAAAAAAACAATAACAGCAATAAAGTAAATATGTGCAAATCTTACATTTGTACCTGAATGAATTTTTCTTATTTAAGTATTAACGTCTGGCCAGAACAAAATGTTAATGGCAGCCCAAAAGCCCTCCTAACTTGTGTCCTCTGTTTTTAGGTTACTGCTATTCTGATTCTTTTTTATTCTAAATTTGTTTATAAAATATAATCTCTCCCCCCCCCCCCTCTCTTGTGGTTCTGGGAATTCAACCCTGGGCTTCATACATGCTAGGCAAATTCTACACCTCAGAACTATATCACCAGCTCATAATCTACTTTTTCATGAATTTATTTTTTTAATTGTTGTTGGACCTTATTTCTGTTCATTTATTTATATGTGGTGCTGAGTATTGAACCTATTGACTTGCACATGTGAGGCAAGTGCTATACCACTGAGCTATAACCCCAGCTCCTCATAATCTGCTTTTTAAATCTAAAATTCTGAGAGTGTTTAATTTAAAAATTTTTAAAAGATTTTAATTATGGTGAAATACACATAACAAAACTTGCCTTCTTAAACATTTATAAATGTACAGTTCAGTAGCATTAAATATATTCCTATTATTTTGCCACCATTATTACTATCCTTCTCCAAAACTTTTTCATTTTGCCAAACTGAAACTCTATATTTATTAAAGAATAATTCTCCATTCCCCAGCCCCTACCAACTACCATTCTATTTTTCCCTTCTCTTATGAATTTGAGTAATGTAGGTATTCTGTGTTGGGAGTTGCCCCAGTTCCAAAGACTATTCTCCCCATCCCCCAGAAGAGCTGTCCAATGGTGAGCCCTGCTAACTCACATGATCCTTATCCACCAATCAGAACTTCCCCATCCCCCAAGAAGAGCCGTCCAATGGTGAGCCCTGCTGGTTCACATGATCCTTACCCACCAATCAGATTAGCCCTGCTGTGTCACATGATCCTTATCCAACAGTCGGAAAGCACCCCATGCCAACTGTTAAAACCATTCTGTCATAACTGTCAAACCACCCCTGGCTCTATAAATATGCAGAGCTGTTCCTCAATAAACGGGCATTTTCTCCGACGACGAGCCTTGTTCGTTCTTTAATTCTGTACATGGAATCATTTAGTATTTGTTCTTTTGTGAGTAACTTATGTCATGTAGCATACATCATGCCCTTTTTAAGACTGAAAAATACTCCATTGTATGTGTATCTCATATCAATATATTAGCCTTTCTATCTGTACACACACTCACACCTCACATTTATATTCGTATCATCTATAAATGGATACTTGGGTTGCTTCCAGCCCTTGGCTATTATTCATAATGTTGCTATGAATGTAAAATATTTCTTTTGCATCCTTACTTTTAGTTATTTCGGGTATATGCCCAGAARTAGAATTGCTGGATCTGTTCTAAAGATTTTGGTTTTATACTTTTTTGGAATCTAATTTATGGTGAATCATGTTTTTGTGATGATCATAATTTGTGGGTATGATAATACTGTTAGGATTATATCATGGTTCATTATTTTGATCTCTTAAAAACTCCTAATATTTCTTGCAGGTTTAATTTTATTCATCATTGTATAAAATAACTTTAGGACTAGCTTTCATGTGCTGTTGATTATACTTAAGTCTAATAATTAATTAGTCATACCTAGAACAAAAAAGTTCATTTATAGCATCATCTATAACATATAATATTGGTTTCTTTTATGAAAGTTTTTTTCATTAGAGGAATATAATTTATAAGACTCTGTCTCCCAGAGTATTCAAATTTAAAATTTAAAGTTCATAAAATAGGTTTTCTGAATTTAGTATTTTATAATATATTGTAGTACATTGTAAACTATATCATATAATTTATTTTAAATTTTTATTTTGACAKTTCATCTGAACAGCATAAATCATGTTTCAATGTTTTATTGTATAAAACATTGAAAATATTTTGTGTATTTGGTTGTGTGCTTGTGAAATAACATCAGAGATATGATATTAAATCTAGTATAAAACATTTCTTAAAGTTTTCTATTATACTACTTTCCCTGCCCTTAATTATATAGTCCTTATCAGCAGTAAAGCTTCAAAAAAACCAAAACAAGAACAAAAAACAGATTCCTAGTTCCTATTTCATACCTACTAGACCTCTAGAATTTCTTCATATGGATCCAAGGCCTTATTTCTTTTGTTTGTTTGTTTTTGCAATTCTGGAAGTTGAATCTAGGGGCCTTATGTATTTTAGGCAAGCATTCTACCACTGAGGTATATTCCTAGCTATTTGAGACAGTTTCACTAAGTTGCCGGGGCTGGTCTCCAATTTGTGAAATTATGTGTCACATGGGGCTGGGGCTAGGGCCCTGGGGCTCAGTGGTAGTGCACTTGCCTGGCACGTATAAAGTCAAGAGTTTACCTGTATTTCCTGGTAGATATTAGTGAGGAAGGCTCTTAGCAAAATGTGTAGGAAAAGGTTTTCATACTCTTGCTTTTCTGTGAACTTGCCTATACAATAACTAATTCCACTAGCATTTTAGAATATGYGTTTAGGAACTTAAATTTCAGAGAAATTATTTCATTTGAATTAAGAACGAAAAGAAGATTAACATTTAGAAGAAATAAGTCAGAAAACACAATAGATGAACTTTCTGGTATGTAAATTTAAAAAGTGGGTGCTGGGGAGGGTCTGAGGCTGTAGCTCAGTGGTAAAGCTTACTTGCCTCACATGTGTGGGGCACTGAGTTCGATCCTCAGCACCCCATAAAAAAAAAATAAAGATACTGTGTTCATCTACAACTAAAAAATATTCATAAAAAATTTTTTAAAAAGGGGGGGATGCTGGGGATGTGGCTTAGCGGTAGAGTGCTTTCCYAGCATGTGCAAGGCCCTGGGTTCTATCCTCAGCAGCACATAAAAATAAGTAAAATAAAGGTATTGTGTCCAACTACAACTGAAAAATAAAATTAAATTAAAAAGTAGGGAGGTGAGTTTCACCTTGCTGCTGTCATTGGGTAATTGATGTGGTAGTAATTCTACAGTGGTATGGGCATAATACTGATTTTTCTTTTGGGAAAAAAAAATTACTAAATGTGTTACATAATTATCATCACATGCTTGATAGTATGTGAACTACCACAAATGAAATAATTTTGTAGATTATGCAATAACATTGTAAACTATATCATATAATTTATTTTAAATTTTTATTTTGACATTTCATCTAAACAGCATAAATCAAGCTTTTTTTCCTGTAGCTTTCTTAGGAAAACAAACTGTTCATATCTTTTTCCTTATTTCTTTTTTCTCCCCACAGAAATGGCAAGATATTATTAAAGAAGTCAAATTTCTACAAAGAATAAAACATCCCAACAGTATAGAATACAAAGGCTGCTATTTACGTGAACACACAGCATGGGTTGGTATCTGTCCTCCTTATTGTAATTTTCATTGGTTTTGGTTTAGAATGAATTAATTCTGAATGTCTTGAACTGATTGTGAAAAGGTATGAACAAACACCTGAAGTGTTAGCAAAAGCAGCATTTTCTAGAACTCATAGACAATAAGAGATAATAGAACTTTTGCAAGTTTACTGCAGATTTTCCTCCAGAATTCAGATGACTTTTATATATATGGTAAAGTTTCCTCTGATACTTTCAATGATACCATGTAAACATTGTGAAAACAGTCCTGTTAATTTAAAAATAAAAGTAATGTATCCTAGCCTAGCGTGGTGGCGCATGCCTGTAATCCTAATAGCTCCAGAGGCTGAGATAGGAGAATTGCAAGTTCAAAGCCAGCCTCAGCAAAATCGAGGTGCTTAGCAACTCAGTGGACCCTGTCTCTAAATAAAATAAAAAATAGGGCTGGGGATGTGACTCAGTGGTTTAGTGCCTCTGAGTTCAATCCCTGGTGCCCCCTCAAAAAGTTAATGTACCTTTTTAACATAAATGTATTGTAATTTTGGTGAAGTTCTGTGTGTTATGGTGAAATTTGAACTGATCATGATTATTTGGCTGAATAATACTAAAAGTATAGAATTGAAACATTTTGTTACAAGGAGTTTAATTTTGCCCTGTTACCATTGAGGTGGGATAATAATAATTCTATAGTGGTATAGGTATAATAAGTGAATCCTTCTTTTTTTTTTTTAGCTGTAGATGAACACACAATATCTTTGTTTATTGATTTTTTTTTTTTTAATGTGGTGCTGAGGCTCAAACCCAGTGCCTCACACATGCGAGGCAAGCGTTCTACACTGAGCTACAGCCTTAGCCTCTAATAACTGAATTTTTAAAGAGAGATTAAATTTCTTTTAAATAAGAATTACCCCTCATTTTGAATAAGTAATAAGCTACAGCTGAATATCATTTTAATATACTTAGATTTGTAGTGTTTTGTACTTGTTTGTTGGTACAGGAAGTGAGGATTGAACCCAGAGGCACTTAACCACTGAGCCACATCCCCACTTCTTTTTATTTTTTGAGATAGGGCATTAACTAAGTTGCTTAGGGCCTTGCTGAGTTGCTGAGGTTGGCCTCGAACTTGTGATCCTTCTGCCTCAGCCACTCATGTCATTGGGATTATAGGTGTGTACCATCACGCCCAACTTACATTTTTATTCAATTTGATTTTGGTGGTGGTGACTCCTAAAACTGAGTCTATGGTTAAAGAAAAAGCAGTAACATTGGGCAGGCTGACTTTATGTCTTTCAAATTTCTCCATCTATAAAACAAGGAGGTAGTAGGACCTAACTAAAAGGTTTTTGTGAGGATTAAAATGGTTAATATATTTAAAATACTTGGCACAGAGTGGTTCTCTGTGTTTTTTTTTTTTTTTAAAGAGAGAGAGAGAGAGAATTTTTTAATATTTATTTTTTAGTTCTCGGTGGACACAACATCATTGTATGTAGTGCTGAGGATCGAACCCGGGCCGCACGCATGCCAGGCGAGCACACTACCGCTTGAGCCACATCCCCAGCCCCTGTGTTTGGTTTTAAAAAATAAAATAATTTAGAATTGGGCTTGATGGTGCATGCATGTAGTCCCAGCTACTCTGGAGACTGAGGTGGGAGGATTGCTGAGCCCAGGAGTTCCAAGACCAATCTGGGCAACATTGTAAGACCCAACTCAAAAAAACAAAGAGACAAATTAAGTTGTCACCTAAGCTTTGTACATATATTTTCAGAGAACAGAGTTTCCTTTCTTATTTTTTTTTAAGTTGGATACAATACCTTTATTTTATTTACTTATTTTTATGTGGTGCTGAGTATCGAACCCAGTGCCTTACACGTGCTAGGCGAGTGCTCTATCACTGACCCACATCCCCAACAGAGTTTTCTACCTCCTACCAATAATCAGTTTTGTTTTTGTAGTCTAATAGTAACAGAAGATCTATATTACTTTTTAATTTTAATTAGTAATTGCATATGAAATGCACAGCTTATAGAAGTGATTACATGTTGACATTATTAAAAGACAACTATCTCCTCATTAGCTTAATTTAATATTTATTTAACAAACTGATAAATGTGCAACTATTTTTTTATTTCTATCCACTATTATTTATTTAAGTCTAAAWAGACTATTTTATTTTTACTTTATTTTGTTTATTTATTTTTATGCGRTGCAGAGGATTGAACCCAGGCCCTCGCACATGCTAGACGAGTGATCTCCTGCTAAGCCACAATCCCAGCCCTTATTTTTTTTAATTCTTTTATTTTTTAAATATATAACAGCAGAATGCTGATTTTTTAGTTGTAGGTGGACACAATATCTCTGTTTTATTTTTATGTGGTGCTGAGGATTGAACCCAGTGCCTCACAYGTGCTAGGTGAGCACTGTACCACTGAGCTACAACCCCAGTCCCCATCACAATTCTTATTACACATGTAGAACACAATTTTTCACATCTCTGTTTGTATATAAAGTATGTTCACACCAATTCATGTCTTCTTACATGTACTTTGCATAACTATTTTTTAAGGTAAACAATACCTAGTTTGTTTTACTTCAAAGCATCCTTTGGACCTCTGGGCAAATTAATTTTATCTCCACTGGAATAATTCTGTATATTTTAATGTTTTTGTAATTTTTCTTCCTGTGTAGCTTGTAATGGAATATTGTTTAGGATCTGCTTCAGATTTATTAGAAGGTAGGTTTCCTTTGATTATTTTTTTTAAAAGCATTAACAGTTAAAATGATAGTTCAGTTAGAGATTATTTAAATAATGTTAATACAAAATAAACAATAATTTCTAGAAAGAGTAAAATTCTTAACTCTCTCCAGATTCTCAGTATGTTATATTATCCTTATAAATACTACATAGTGTATAAAATAAACAAGTTTTCACTTGTGACTTTGCAAGCATTTTTCTGGATTCTTTGTCACTCAGCTTCCATTCAAAACAAAGATAAGTGAGAATAAATGGAAAACTTCTTTTTTACTTTTGTTTTTTATAATAACAAATAATTTTTTGATATTTTTGACTATGAGGGATATTGACTGAGAATTATACTTCAATAGCTAGCACAACTGTATACCAGTTATAAAGTTAATAGACTGTTTTAGCATCATAAGACTTCTCTTATTAAATGTCAGACTACCCATATATCAGATATATAAGTTTATTTTTTTAAACAAAAACTTCTGTGTAGTAATTATTTTCAAATGCATTCTTAATTTTAAGTTCACAAAAAGCCATTACAAGAAATGGAAATAGCAGCAATTACACATGGTGCTCTCCAGGGATTAGCCTACTTACATTCTCATACAATGATCCATAGGTAAGTGCTTTGAAAATTATCACAGTGACAAGCAATTGTCTTATTGGATTTATCAGCCATATAGTTTGGTAACCCTGACATGTTTGTTGGTTATAGCCAAATAGAATTGTATAAACTCATTTGTTGATTGTTCATAAATTCAAAATAACAGTACTACATTTGATCTCTCTGTTTAGGATAATTTTTATCTCTGTCTCCTGTACTACTGGGACTTCTAAAGTATATGCACTTAGTAGACTTATAGTAGAAATTTAATTATAGAATCATTTAATTTGCAAATGGAAAAGATATTTGGGATCAGATAGTCTTTTTCTTTTTACAGGTGAAAAAAGCCAGTGCCCCAGTTTTTGACWATAATTTCCCAAAGTTTGCAAAAGCCAAATATATTAGAGATAGAACTTGGCAAATCTTTGTCTTCTTAGTAACTGATACTGCTATATTTTTCCTGTTGATTTCATGACATGGACAAAGACTATGCTTTTGAGCATTAATCCTTGATAATAGATAGTAATTTTGAAATTAAACCACTTTATAATGCATTTTTGGCACTGTTATTGGTTTTGACTGTTTTAGGTAAAAAATAGTATTTTTAATTATTTGTTTGAACCAGGTAGTACATATTAGACTAGGTAATAGGGTCACTGTGAATTAACAGATTATTATGTTTTTAGTAGAGACTAGTAAAGTTCAAAGGAAATGCACTTATTAGAACATGATTAACAAGAGTTAGAATTAGAACCTAAGATTTTTTATTGACTTAAAAGTAGTTCTCTGTGTACAAGATCTCAGTTTCAGTCCCTTAGCACAGAGGGAAAAAGTACACTCCTCACTTAAAAAAAAAAAAAAAAGTGAAAATAGATTTTTTGCTATTATATGCACTGTGACAAGAGGAAGGAGAATAAATCCACTTAGTATTATATGTATTATAATACTTCAGGAATGAATAAGTGCTTGGAAATTTAGTTTCTCTTTTTCAATTGTTGAAAGGTTAAGTGTATGTTCCCGTGCGCATTGGAATGCAGTCCCATCATTTAATTATCCATAATTTTCTTAATTTGGATGGATAGTATGTTTGTTCTTTCAGAAGGATAAATTTGAAAGTAAATTTGGGATCATTAATAATACATTATCCATATGTTTCAATTTTTATTTCACATTGAGTCAGGAGAACTATATTGAAATTTGAAAAAGATATGAATAAACCTTAAAAAAAGAAAAAACAAGTTTGGAGAATAAAGTTTTTTTGTTCTTTTTTCCCTTTTTTTCCTTTTTTTTTCCTTTTTTTAAGCATAAGTGGGATACTCAGAAATCTTACACATTGTGAAGGGGTTATTAGCCAATTAAATTCTGTTTTGAAAACCATTGTTTGTTTTTGATAAATAGACTATGTTGCAGTTACCTGTCTGTCATTTTTAAACTGCTATTTATCTTCTCTTTTAGAAAAGTTAATATATTTTAAATTCTATATTTTTTGTTATCTAATCTTGTTATCACAATTGTGAGTTATCCCAGCACTATTTTTATTTCATTTTCTCCATTTAAAAAATTCTTAGTTGATTTGTTTCATTTTAAACACAATGTAATGAAAAAAAGACAAATTAATTTTCTGTGTTCCTTAAACTCAGAGATATCAAAGCAGGAAATATCCTTCTGACAGAACCAGGCCAGGTGAAACTTGCTGATTTTGGATCTGCTTCCATGGCATCCCCTGCCAATTCTTTTGTTGGAACACCATATTGGTAAGAATGTTTCTATCTGTATTGATTCTCATAGATGTCATTTTGGACATTTTTACTTTGAGTATTATACTTAATTTTAGAGTGCTGCCCTTTTTATGTTTTTGTTTATTTGTTTGTTTTTTCATCTATGCCACATTTGCTTTCCTATTACTATCTTTATYAAATATTGGGTGTGGGAGTGAAAAAAAGTGAATAAAATTCAAGTGGAGTAGGAGGTGGATATGCTAAATGGTAAATTGTATGCTTTCTTTAAATTTAAGACAGAGTATTTAAAGTCTGGTAACTTCTGGGTCCAATGACTCACATCTGTAGTTCCAGCCCCTTGGGAGGCTGAGGCAGGAGGATCACAAGTTCAAAGCCGGCTTCAGCAACTTAATAAGACTTTGTCTCAAATAAAATACAAAAAAGGGCTAGGGATGTGGCTAAGTGGTTAAACAATCCAGGGTTTAATCCCCGGTAACAACAATAACAACAACAACAAAGACTGGTAGCTGATTTGGAATTTTGACTCAGATTTGTTTTGTTTTGACTCATTAGCATGGAGGATTTCAGATATATATGTAAAAGTGGACAAAAGTATGATGCTTTTCTTTCTTTTTTTTTTTTTAGTTGTAGATGTACACAAACTTTTATTTTGTTTATTTATTTTTATGTGATGCTAAGGATTGAACCCAGTGCCTCACACTTATTACACAAGTGCTCTACCACTGAGCCACAATCTCAGACCCTGATTTTCTTTTTTAATATACCAATTACCAAACAAACATTATCAATTCTGCTTTGTGTACTCCCATTTCTTCCCATCCCAGTTATTTTTAAGGAAATTCTAGACATCACCTAATTTCTTCTGTAAATAATGCAGAATGTATCTGTCAGCAAAAGTTTGAAGGGAGGAACTGTGGTTATAGCTCAGTGGTTGAGCGCTTGCCTCCCATGTGTGAGGCACTGTGTTTGATCTTCAGTACCACATTTAAAAAATAAATAAATAAAAATATTGTGTCCATCTACAACTAAAAAAAATTGTAAAAAAAAGYTTGAAGGGAATAATTTTCAGATCTTTAACTTCCATATGTATCCTTTTTATATTCATTGCATCTTCTTTCTTGYCTGCCTTTTAAATCATCCGTTTCCTACTGTATAATGGAAAAACTTCTTACCTATTTTGAATATTATAATGATGCATTGCTCTGGGGTGTAAAAGCCTCAGAGGCATACTGGAAAGACATTTTTGAGAATGTTGGGCGTCTATGAGAAATACTGAAGCATCAGGACATACACTAATGGCAAAGCCCTCACTCTTTCTAGTTGTCTTTTTTCTTTTCTTTTACTTGACATTTTCTTTCTTTCCAATAACTTATTTTCCCTCTGTCCCTCCTTTCCTTCCTTCCTTTCTAGTATGGAATTTGGGACCTGAGATGATGATTATGGGAATACATAAAAWTTTTTTAAAAAATTAATATATGCCTTATACTTACTAGGCAAGTGCTCTGCCACTGAGCTACAGCCCCAGTTCACATTAAAATGTTTAAATTGCATCAAAAAATGAAGTTGGACCTCTTTATGACAGAAAGTGATTCTGATTTGTCTAATTGATATGATCTTCAGGTTAGCTTTGCTAATTAGGTTTTATGGCAATTTTGTGTGTGTGTGTGTGTGTGTGTGTGTGTGTTTTCTGGGATTAGAACCCAGGGGTACTCTGAGTCCCAACTCTCTTTTGTTCTTTATTTTGAGATAGGGTCTTGCTAAGTTGCCCAGGCTGGCCTTGAATTTGCAGTCTTCTTTCCTCAGACTGCTGAGCAGCGTGGATTACAATCCACGTGCCACCACTCCCAGCTGTATATGACAGTGTTTTTAATGAATTAACTAAACCAATTCTGCAACTCCAAGTTTTAAGTATCTTTAAAGCTCACCTATAATATACAATATTTGTATACAATGAAATTTATAAAAATGTAAATATCAACCCCAAAATGTACAATGGGATGAAAAAAATTTTTATAAATTCTAGGAGGCAAATACATTAAAAAATTTGAAAACCACTGCTTGTATAGGATGTTAGTCTATACTATATAGAATCCTCATCCTCTGTTTAGTGAGTTTTCTGAGCCAATAATACTTCTTAACAATTCCCCATTTTATAAATTGGTGATGAATATTTGATGATAAAGAGGGTCTAAAATGACCTTCAATAAAAAAATATAAAAATTACTCTTGAAATTTGATTGATTTAGAAATTTCCTAAACTTAATTAAATATTTTAAAGAAAWCTCATTTAACACCCAGTTATTGATAATGGAAAGTTTAGTTTATTAACATACTTGTTAATTTTTATATAGTGTATTTGGAATATAAGAACGTGGTGTTTATACTGTTAGACACACATACACACATACTGGGGATGGCTGTCCATCTTACTGAAGTAGTTAGTAACTCTTAGGTGTTCATCTGTGCTTAACACCAAATACAAATGAAGTGTTAAGTATATTAGACTTAGCCATGTGTGGTAGTAGATGTCTATAATCCCAGTGACTCAGGAGGCTGAGGCAGGAGGATCACAAATTCAAGGCCAGCTACAACTTAGTGAAACCTTAAGCAACGTTACAAGACCCTATCTAAAAAACAAAAAGGCTGGGGAGTTAAGAGTGTACCTGGGTTCAATCCATAGTACCGCATATGTAGACACACAAAAGAATGTTAGGTTCTAGTTGTAGCCATGAATTGGTTTTCATTTTAAAACTTAAAAACACATAAGAGAGAGGTTCTCAAAATGGGGGAATGGAGGAAGTTGTTTTCGTGGCTGCTCCATAGAGTAAAGCCAAGAAAGCATGCAGGTAGACTGTCAGCCAGGTGGGTTAACAGAAAGACGCGTGGGCCTTTACTGATATTTAAACTGGATATTCAAAGCAGATTGGGGACTCAGGAGGTTGGATATAATAAAATAAGGAAGAAATCCCCAGTAGCACAGCCTCAGCAGGGCTGGAAGTACCAGCCAGATCCGTTCTTCTGTGAGCATAGCAGAAAGATAAGGGAATTAAAGAAACCTGCATTTTTAGGAGGCTTGAAGCTGTCTGAAGCTGGGTATGGAGTGTTTAAAGATCAAGGACATTGCCTAGCAAACCTGAAAGATGCACTGCACAATATCTGTATGTGRGGAAAGAAGCTGCCAATTTATAAAATGGGGAATTGTTAAGAAGTACTATTGGCTCAGAAAACTCACTAAATAGAGGATGAGGGTCTGAAATGACCTTCAATAAAAAAATATAAAAATTACTCTTGAAATTGCCCCAAACAAATCAAGGTACTCCAATAACAGAATTCATCAACACCACAGTGTAAGAAATGTCAGAGAAGGAGTTTAGAATGTACATGGTTAAACTGATCTGCAAAGTAAAGGACAATATAAGAAATAAAACCAAGGGGCTGGAGCTCAGTGGTAAAGCGCTTGCCTAGCATGTATGAGGCACTGGGTTCGATTCTTATCACCATATATAAATAAATTAATAAGATAAAGGTCCATCAACATCTAAAAAAATAAAAAAGGAAATGAAATCAGATAGAAAATGCATGAAGTAGAAGATCACTTCAACGAAGAGACAGAGATTCTGGAAAAATAAAAAACGTAGGAGTTCTCAAAAATGAAGGAAACAATAAACCAAAAGAAAAATTCCATAGAAAGCATCACCAATAGTCTAGACCACCTGTAAGACAGAACCTCAGGCAATGAAGACAAAGTATATAATCTTGAAAATAGAGTTGACCATGGAGAGAAGATGACAAACCCAAGGAATGCACAGCCTTTTCAATGAAATAATATAAGAAAATCCCCAAGCCTAAAGAATGAAATGGAAAGTCAGATATAGGAGACTTACAGGACCCCCAATGTATGATTACAACAGACCCACACCAAGACACACTATAATGAATATGCCTAACATACAGAATAAGGATAGAATTTTTAATGTGAGAGAAAAATATCAGATTATATATAGGGGGAAAACAATTTGGATCTCAGCTAATTTCTCAGCCCAGACCATCAAAGCTAGGAGATCCTGGAATAACATATACTCAGCTCTGAAAGACAATGGCTGCCAACCAAGAATCCTATAACTAGTAAAATTAAGTTTCAGATTTGAAGATGAAATAARAACCTTCTATGATAAACAGAAGTTAAATAATTTGCAAATAGAAATTCTGTACTACAGAACATTCTCAACAAAATATTCCATGAAGATGAAATGAAAAAAAAAAGTGAAAACCAGCAAAAGGAGGAATTACACTAAAGGAATACTTAATGATAGGATGAACTAATTCAAAGTAAAAACTAGAAATAAACCCAAATGACTAGGAATACAAATCATATCTCAGTATGAACATTAATGGCCTAAACTCATCAATCAAAAGACTCAGACTGGCAAATGGGATTAAGAAACAAGACCCTACAATATGCTGTCTCCAGGAGACTCAGCTCATTGGCAAAGACATTCACAGACTGAAGGTGAAAGGATGGGGAAAAACGTATAACTCACATGGATCACATAAACAAGCAGTCCATTTATATCAGATAAAATGGACTCTAAGTCAAAGTTATAATGGATAAAGAAGACCATTTTATACTGCTTAAGGCAACCATACATCAACAAGGCAACAATTGGAAATATGTGTGCCCCAAACAATGGAACATCTACAGACATCAAACCCTTCTCAACTTCAACAAATAGACCACAACAAGATAATACTGGGACAATGTCACCTGCCTCTGTCACCACGGGGTAGATCCTCCAAACAAAAAGAAAATAATGAAGCAAAAAATACAATTGATAATTTAGACTTGACAGATGTATATATAATATTCATCCATCAATGACTGAATATACTTTCTTCTCATCAGCACATGGTTCCTTCTCTAATATAGATCCATGTGATGTAAGCTATCACATATTGGCATATACTTGTAATATTGCCTTATTATATTTTCATCATCTGTAGAGTTATTTTGATTGCTCCCTTTCCATTGATATTAATTTTTGTGTTCTTGCTTTTTTCTYAATTAAATTTAAGTTTATTTTTAATCAAATTTTGGCTGTATGATTTATTCTCTATTTTACATATTTCTGCTCCTACTCTTATTTCTTTCTTCCTACTTCATCATTTGAAAATAATTTGGTTGTTATTCTAGCTTCTTTCTGAAACAAGTACTTTAAAGGTTCATCTGTGTATTGTTCCATCCCAGAGATCCTGATATTTTAAGCTTTTATTATCACATAGTTCAAAGCACCTTTTTATTTACTTTCATGTGCTTTCTTCCTTGACCCCTGAGATATTTATAAGTGTGCCATTTAATTTTGAAATAATTGACACCTGGGTGGGATTCTATATATCTTAAGATGATTGATTTCTAATGTAATAAATCATACAGGAAACAGTATGCATGATTTCAAATTTTAAAAAGAGTAATGGAAGTACTTTTTGTATTGACTGTATTGGTTACATACGTGTCAAAACTGATCAAATTGCATACTTCAAATATGTGCATTTTATTGTACTTCAATTTTACCTCAATAAAGCTATAGGGGAAAAAGACAATAAAAAAAGATACACATAAAATTAATTTTGAGGTTGTTGGAGCCACTTTTATCATGAAACAGTATTTGAAAGAGTCAAAAACTATGGTTATTCAGTCTTGGTAATTATGGCAGATACTTCTCAAATGAAATGAGGTTGCATTTTAAGAAAAACAACCTACACTATTTGTTGCTAGTGATAAAATTTAATCTTTAAAGCAAGAATTAGACTTTTTAAATGAAATCTTGAAACCAAGTGTTTGAGAACCACTGACCTAAAAGATATGCAATACTGGAATCTGCAGACTTGCACAGATGCAGAGACAGCCCTGCTCTGCAAAATTGTCCTTTTGGGATGCTGTTATATGATCACGATAGACAGTGGGAATGAATCTCACTTTATATTCATTGCTAAATATTTACTTCACAACCTCTAGGGTGACTGTTTCCCATTATAAAAATTCTTATGTCCACATATTGGTTGGAATTTAAACCAATGTACTCTATGTAAATCTTCCTTATATTCTCAAACAATAATATATGTTTTTGTTAAAACTGTATATGAACGTTTTGTTTTTAGGATGGCCCCAGAGGTAATTTTAGCCATGGATGAAGGACAATACGATGGCAAAGTTGATGTATGGTCTCTTGGAATAACATGTATTGAACTTGGTAAGCATTGTTCTTCATTACTGTGGATTAAATTTTGATTAATGTTTACTTCAATTACTATACCAAGTTTTAGGTTTTTATCAGGTGCTAAATCTATTAAAGTTTTTACTAAATATTAAAGATTTGGTTATCTGGTAATTTTTATGTATGTAGGTTAGAAATATTTGCTATTAAATTAGATCTAAAATAATTTTCCCTCTATTCCTATCAATATGAATATTTCTTAAACATCTAGAATGTGCCCATTCATTACTAGATTTATCATCCAAAGAAGGTTTCTGAAGCATTTGCAGATGACTTACCCTTTCCTAGTGTAGTTATTACTTTGCATTAGGAATGAAAATTAGCTGTCAGGCTGTGTACTATATTGTAGCAGTTTTTTTGTTTTGTTTTCTAAAGATGTTGAGACAGACTGTATTCACGGGGGACTATGGAAATAGGTATAGAAACCATTGTGATGGTGTTTTGCAATTGGGGAAAGAGATTAGAATCAACTCCCTATAACAGTTTGATTTTATACACACATTTGTTCTGTTATTTTTAAGTAGAACTATGCTTAAAGCAATGGACCAGCATAATTACTAACATTCCCACTGGAAGTAAGCCAAATAGGTGTCTGAATTGTTATTGAGTTTATTGTCAGCACTAGTTTCCATGCAAATACAGAGCTACTTTTTCATTGAGAGGTATTAATCATAAGGGGAAAATGTCAAAATTTGAACCCATTGACCTTCACCTTTATAATTATTCTCCTATGTAAGAATAAATAATATGAACTTTTTCTCTGGAATAACCCCCCCCCTTTTTTTAATTGGATTGTATTTTCTGAGATTTACTTTCTAGACCTTTTTCTACCTCAGTTTTATTATTCTTACTTTGGGTGATATTTTGTAATCCACATATATGGAGAGAGAGATTTTATAAATAGGCTCACAAAATAATATAGAATAGGATCTTTAACTTTTTAAAAAATAGATGTGGATTAAGTCAAATTTAGGTTTAGTAGTAGAATTTGAGATAGAAAATGTCAGTCTAATATGCCAAGTCAAAGACCTTAATAGTTGTCATAGATATAGATTATATCTTTCTTTTATTTATTCATAATTTCTTCAGTAACCTTTTCTTTTCCCGGACTACTCAATCGTAAAGCCACTGGTCAGGGTAGGTAGGTGTCCATGCCAGATGATAGGCTGTGGTAAGTCAGGGGTGGGTTTCAGAGTCAAATGAGTAGAATAAAGAGATCCCATAACCTGGTTTATAGAGATGTTTAGTGTGTATTGTATATATGTGTTTCTTTCTTTCTTTTTTTCTTTTTCTTTGTTTTTTTTTTTTTTTTTTGTACTAGGGATTGAACCCAAGGGCACTTAACCACTGAGCTACATCCCAGCCCATTTTTATATTTTATTTAGATATAGGGTTTCACTGAGTTGCTTAGGCTCACTAAATTGCTGAGACTGGCTTTGAACTTGTGAACCTTTTGCCTTAGCCTCACAAGCCTCTGGTATTACAGGCATGCACCGCTGTGCCTCGCTTTTATTTCTTAACTATGACTATTGAGAGCTTGAGAGCAATGACAGCACAGTAGCAGTGAGCATACCTAATACTATCCATTTTTGGGAAAACAGCTGATCTAGAATTTGGGGTACAAATATCTTAGTATACCAGAATAACAAMAAMAAAAAAAAAAAGATCAAACAATAAATAGATCCTATCCAAAAGACAAAAGAAGCCACCTTAAAAAAAGGTTCCTACTACTCAAATATGAGACCGTATGGACATCATCATCATCTCATCATAAATGAGAGAATATAATTTTACTTTTTGTTTTGGTCCTGAGGATTGAAACCAGAGGTACTCTACCACTGAGTCACATCCTAGCCCTTTCATTTTTTTATTTTGAGACAGGGTTTCACTGAACTGCTTAGTGCCTCACTAAATTGCTCGGGTTCTCCTTGAATTTGTGATCCTCCTGCCTCATCCCCGAGTCATTGGGATCACAGGCACATGCTGTTGGTCCCTGGCTGTTTTTTGGTACTGAGGATTGAATCCAGACTCACTTTACCACTGAGCTATGTCCCCTGTACTTTTTACTTTTTATTTTGAAACAAGGTGTCACTGCATTGCTTAGGGCATCACAAAGTTGCCAAGTTTGCCTCAAATTTGGTTGTCTTTTCTCATCTTCCTGATTTGAGTAATTTATTAAATAAAATAGAAATGTATGAATCTTTAAATAAATAAATGGGAGATTTATAGGAAACAGGATATTTATTAAATAAATTCAAAATACCTTCTTATAAAATGCTTACTAAGTACACAGGAGAAAAGAGAAGCTAACTTGAAGCCTGGCAGAGATGGTCTTCACCAAATCATCAAAGTGAACACCATCATTAAGGAGACCACTTGAAATCATGTGTTTCTCATAGGGTACCATAAGCAAAATATAACCATTACTTTAAAATATTCCTTCCAAGATGTGTGATCCAAATCTAATAATGGGAAAATCCAAACTGAGGGCCATTCAAGAGTCCTTTTACTTCCAAATTATAAAAGTGGTGACTTCAACTTTGATCTTAAGAAACTGGAGGGCTGGGATTGTGGCTCAGTGGTAAAGTGCTTGCCTAGCACAGGCGGGGCCCGGGTTCGATCCTTAGCACCTCATAAAAATAAAGGCATTGTGTTGTGTCCATCTACACCTAAAAAAATAAATATATATATAAAAAAGAAAGAAACTGGAAAAAGCAAATTGAGTCTGAAACAAGCAGAAGAAAGGGAAGAATAAAGATCAAACCAGAAATCAGTTTATAGAAAACAAAATAATAGAGAAAACCAGCAAAATAAAAAAACTGGTTCTTTGAGGATCAATAAAATTGGTAACATATTGGATACTGATTAGGAACAAAAGAGAAAACCAAAAATTTCCAGTTGCAGTGAAGATTTTATAAATATTATGATTTTATGAATATTAAAGGGCAATAAGGAAATATGAACAATTTTCTGTCTATAAGTTTGACAACTTGATAATGGAAGGAAATTACTTAAAGGACACAAGCTATTAGAGTTCACTTTTGCTACATAGGACATAGAATGAAACTTGCAGGGGGTTTGAAGGATAGATAGAATCATCAGTATTATATAAGCCTATTTGAATGGATATAGTATGGTTCTTCAGGCAAATGTTCTTGTTGACAGGAAATATATACTTAAATATTTCGAAATGGTGGAGCATCATATCAGAAATTTATTTTCACTTGATTCACTTGAAAAAATTATTTGTACTTTCCTTGCAATTTTTTTAATAGATTTAAGATTGTTTCAAAAGAAGAAACTTAAAGAAAAGGAAAAAAATTGAACAATACTTGAGTTCCCCTTTAACACATATATTTTAATAGGAAAGTTTCCTTTATTTTTACAGCGGAAAGGAAGCCTCCTTTATTTAATATGAATGCAATGAGTGCCTTATATCACATAGCCCAAAATGAATCCCCTACACTACAGTCTAATGAATGGTGAGTATTACTAAGAGATACTGTGTGATATTGTATAAATGAAATGCTTTTTACATAATTTGTTATCACAATGGCAATTTTTTTTTAGGTAAATCATGTTACTTAAGAGATATCAAAATAGGTTTATTTTACCCTTATGTTTATATGTTGTCCTTTCTGCATTTCATAGCATGTGTGTTTGTGTGTGTGTGTGTGTGTGTGTGTGTGTGTGTGTGTATATATATATATATATGAAATTCAGGTCAGAAGGAAAGGATAGATTGTTACATGGATGTAAAAAATATTGATTTTTATAATAATTTATATTTTTAGAACTTCAAGAATATATATAACCCTAATTATATAAAAGTTTTTAAACATTAATATTTTAAACTGAACATATGTATAGATGATTGCAACCTATAATGATATTTGATCAAGGAATGGGTTATAATTTATATATTATAAAACTGTAGGTAAAATGATTTGACTTCATCAAAATTGCCAGATAATTGAAAACTTTGGGATCATTCTAGTTATAATTGTGATATTATTCAGATTTCTCTAATGTTCCTTCTACTGTATCCTTTATTTGATAAAATTAAGTTCATTCACATAAAGAAGGTTTTTTTTTAATCCATGGTAAAAAATCATACCAGAAGAGCCATGCATGGTGGCTCAGACCTATAATCTCAGCGACTTGGGATTCTGAGGCAGGAGGATCACAAGTTCAAACCCAGCCTCAGCAATTTAGCGAGGTCTGAGCATCTTAATCAGACCTTACCTCAAAATAAAAAAAATAAATAGGGGTGGAGATGTGGCTCAGTGGTCAACTGTCTCTGAGTTCAATCCCTGGTACAAAACAACAACAATAAAACGGGATTTTTTTCTCACCATTCTGAAGATCAGAACAAAGACTACTAGCAGGTTAGTGCTCAATCTCTGCTTCCAAGAAAGTGCCTGGAACCCTGCATCCTCAGGAGGGAAGGACTGTTGGCCAAAGAACAGGAGAGAGTAAAGCTGTCCTTGCATCCCTTTTTATTTTGCCATTAATCTGTTCATGTGGGCAAAGTCCTCATTACCTAAACACCTCTTATTAGGCCCTGTCTACCAAAACTGTTGCATTGGGAATTAAATTTCATCTTGAGTTTTGCTGAGGAAAAAAATATTCAAACCATAGCATGACATATGTAAGTTATAATTAAACACAAACTGTGCTTGTACTGTGTTTGAGACTTTGGGGATTTATAAAAGAAAGCATTCTTGCCTACAATGAACTTAAAAATCTTATTTGAATTTTGGAGGCAAATATTGATGGAATAATTATTATTTACTGGGATTATAGGCATGTACATAATATAAAATATGTAATCACTGAACTCTAATGAATAAACCATATAATAATATGATACAGATTTTTTTCTTAGCCATTTGTTCAGGGTCATCAAATAACTCAGGTATAAAAAGTTCTTTCTCCAGAATAGGTMGAGTGATGTTCTAAAACATACTATATAAAGAAAGATCTAAGAGACTAATTTTAAAAAGTGCCTTAGAGAAAAGGAAAAAGGAAAAGAAAGTGGGAAGGAATACAATGTTGTATTTCAATGGGAAAAAAAAAAAGCAGAAGGACTAAGGCTTTCTTATCTGGCCTCAATATAGAATTAAGATAGCTCAAAATGTGAAAGCAGGAGGAATTTGTTTTTTAGTGCTGGAAGTTGAACCCAGGCCTCATCAATGCTAAGCACACTCTACCACTGAATTAAATTATACCCCCAGTCCCAAAATATCTAAAAAAAAAAAAAAAAAAAAAAAATCTGTGCAAGTAAGGGCTGGGGGTTGTGACTCGGTGGTAGATCCCTTGCCTAGCACATGTGAGGTACTGGGTTCAATCCTCAGCACCGCATAAAAAATAAATAAATAAAGGTATTTTGTCCATCTATAACTAAAAAAAAAAATTGTGCAAGTTTATCTTTGGAAAATAGTTAAGACTTACTGGTTGCTTTAGGTAGCTTTTCATAGAGGTATGAAAGTGTATAGTCCCTGCTTTTTAAAATTATTACTAWTCCTTTTCGATTCCTTCTCTCACCTTATATACCTTAATATTTGATGTGTTTTTTTAAGAAAATAGCAATATGTTCACTTGATACTTTCCTTTACAATAGGTCTGATTATTTTCGCAACTTTGTAGATTCTTGCCTCCAGAAAATTCCTCAAGATCGTCCAACATCAGAGGAACTTTTAAAGGTCAGTTCTGTAATGCTATAAATCTGTATTTACCCTTGAGAAATGATAATAAAGAATGTGTTTTATTTTTCTTTGATTTTGAAGCTGGATTAAGTATATTATACTAGTTTGTATTGAAAAAAAAATTTTTTTTGACAGTGTTTGGGATTAAATCCAAGGCCTCATGCATGCTAAGCAAGCACTCTACCACTGGAGATAAACCCCAACCCATAATATACTARATTTTTATATTGTTTTCTCTGGATTTTTTTTTTTTTTTAAATGAAACCCAGAGCCTCCCTCTGGTACTGGGGATGGAACCTAGGGGCCTTGCACATGTAGGCAAGCACCCTACCGCTGAGCAGCAGCATCCCCAGCTCTTTTTAGTTTTTAGTTTGAGATAGGGTCTTGCTAAGTTGCTCAGGCCAGTCTCCAACTCAGAATCTTTTTGCCTCAGCCTCCTAAGTAACCGGGATTATAGGCATGTACTATCATGCCTAGCTCTAACCCATGTAAATTTTAATGAATGTGGAGCAAAATCTTGTTTCAAATTGGTAAAACAGAATAATTTTAGATCTAATTTTTTATCTACCATACTTTATATGTTGATCTGTCCCATATTAATATATAAAAATAAGTATGCTATGGTATATTTAGGTAAATACTACAAGAGAAAAGAAACTGTTAAAAATGGATGCAATATTTTTGTTCCTGCTGGGCATGTTTGTGCATACCTGTAGTTCAGCTATTCCAGACTCGGAGGCCAGTTGACCATTTGAGCCTGAGTTCAAGTCAGACTGGACAACATATAGTGAGACCCTGTGGCCCAGCGGTAGAATGCTAGCAATTGCAGAAACGTACTTTAAAAAAAATCAGGGCTGGAGTTGTGACTCAGTGGTAGAATGCTGCTCGCAATTGCAAAAAGGTCAAACTTAAAAATATAAAATTTAACACTTGATATTTTTGTTCAGGTCTGTGGTGCATGCCCATAATCCCAGTGACTCAGGAGGCTGAGTTGAGGGCTTTGATTTGACAGTTATTATTATTTGTACCCTTTGATAATTTCAACTCTATTTTTCAATTGACCAACAAAAAATTATGTTCTAGGATTTTATAAAACATACAAGAGTATGGAGTAGAGGGATACAGAAGAGTGAAGGAACTTTGGTTTGTGTAGAAGGGAGTCAGGGAGTGATGGCATTGTGGGGATAGGAAGGACAATAGAAAGAGTCAGACATTATTACCCTATTATATGATTACTCTAGTGGAGTGACTCTGAACCATGTACAGCCAGAGGAATGAAAAGTTGTGCTCCGTTTGTGTACTAAATGTTAAAATGTATTCTACTGTAAAATAAATAAATAAATAAATCGAAACATACAAGATTGGTAATGTAGGTACAGAGTATATGTATGTAAGTGATTATTTTGTAAATATCAGAAATTGTAATAGTATAGATTATGTATCATGTATCATAGAATGGTAACTCTAAAGTATGAGAAGGGGTAAATTTGCACCAATTGAAAAGTTAAGTATCAACCTGACTTTTACCTTCTCTCCTATTTAGCACATGTTTGTTCTTCGGGAGCGCCCTGAAACAGTGTTAATAGATCTTATTCAGAGGACAAAGGATGCAGTAAGAGAGCTGGACAATCTGCAGTATCGAAAAATGAAGAAACTTCTTTTCCAGGAGGCACATAATGGACCAACAGTGGAAGCACAGGAAGAAGAAGAGGTAATACCTACAATGACTAAAATCTTGAATTCTCTTTATTGGTTTTTTTCTTTATGCACTTTGCCTTGCCAAGAATTTACCTTTTCTATCAATGGTTCCCAAGTAATTTTCTTAGCATTAATTATATAATATTCCATTTAGGAAAAAGGGTTTTAGATTGTATGCTCAAAGCCCAACCCCTTTAATGTTAAGTGCACATTGGTATGGTAAAGGCTTTTGAAAGTCTTTTATTTGGAAAAAACTGTTCAACTTTATTTAGTCTAGTTCCTCTCATATTTCTTGGCCACTGAACCCTTGTTTGACTTATCATTCAGTTCCATGGGACATGCTTTTAGAAGTACTTGAAATTATAGAGTCTTAGAGTTGACTGTTTTCCCCTCAGAAGTAATTAGAAAGTTAACAGGCCTTTGACTGTGACAAAGGAAACCTGATTCCTTTTAGTTCTGCATAATTTTATTCCATTTCTRTGGCTCTAAAATATTCATTTTGCAGATGAGGAAAGTAAGGCTTAGAGTATTTAACTTATTATAGGTGGGGGCATGTGGATTTATATTTATAACTCATTCTCAAAGCCAGTTTTTTTTTTCTGTGTTGCCTTTTAAGGAGAATGGAAATACAGATTTGCGGAAGTGTTGCAGAACTTCCTCAAGGAAATTACAAATAAAGTGTTTATTATATATGAATTATCTTTTTACTCTATTTAAAAAAAATTAGTTTTCAAATTTACCCCATCCCAGTTCTGACTCTTTGGTTATTTTCTGTTGCTTTTCAATGAGAGAGATCACTTTGTATTCTGAAACCATGAGCAATGCTTTTTTTTTTTTTTCCATTTTAGTAGCACTAAATAACTAATAAGCTATAAAATATTAGATCTCTTATATTTTACTACAAAATCAATACAGATTTTATGCCAATTTTTTTAACCAAAAAATGTGGAATGTGGTCATTATTGAAGCCTTTTAAAACACACACACGCACACACACACATATACATATCATGCCAATATTTCTTATAAATAATTTATTACTAAACTGGTTCAAGATTAAGATGCATGAAGTAGGGCTGGGGATGTGGCTCAAGCGGTAGCGCGTTCACCTGGCATGCGTGCGGCCCGGGTTCTATCCTCAGCACCACATACCAACAAAGATGTTGTATCCGCCGAGAACTAAAAAATAAATAATAATAAAAATTCTCTCTCTCTCTCTCCTCTCTCACTCTCTCTTTTAAAAAAAAAAAAAAAGATGCATGAAATACTCAGGAATACATTAATTCAGTAGTGACAATTGTGTGGCAAAATAACAGTAATTTTTTTGTGGGGGCTTTTTATTTATGTTTTAGTTCTTACCATAATCAGAAAATCATTTTTGCTGTTTTAGAAATATGAAATACTTTAATAAAGTTGTGAAATTAATAAAATTCTATGTAGTTAATTTTTTTTTTTTTAACTAGAATGAAACCCAGGGGTGCTTAATCACTGAGTCACATCCTAGCCCTTTTTAATTTTGAGACAAGATCTCACTAAGTTGCTTATTAGGGTCTTGCTAAGTTGCTGGGATTGGCTTTGAATTTGGAGTCCTCCTGCCTCAGCCTCCTGAATTGCTGGGATTATAGGCATATGCTGCTGTGACCAGCTATGTGGTCAAATCTTTAAAAGCATCTATTCCTCTAGGGATCTAAGAAAATTCTATAAATATATACATATATGTACATGCATACACATACTTGTGTGTGCATATGTTGTCTGTATTCATTAAATTCTAGCATATCTTATAAAAGTTTGGTACTATAGACTATAGTAATATTAGTGTTCTAACCCCATAGCTATGTGATTGTGACCGATTTATAAATTATATGTTTATAAATATCAAATATATTTATACATTTAACTTGAAATTCTTAGTTTATATGGGAATACGTAGGAATTAATATTATTTGGTGATAGATAATCTTTCAGGAAGAAAAAACAGCATCCTTTATAAAAGTCCTCAGTAAAAAATAACAAAAAGGGGCTGGGGTTGTGGCTCAGTGGAGAGCACTTGCTTAGCATGTGTGAGGCACTGGGTTCGATTCTCAGCACTGCATATAAATAAATAAAATAAAGGTATTGTTACAACTAAATATTTTTAAAAAGCATTTACAGGATTTTATTCACTCATTCATTTATTCATTTATTTTGGCAGGCTGAGAATTGAACTCAGGGACTCACACATGCCAAGCAAATTATACATTGAATCTCATACTCAAGCTCCCCAGAAGTTTTTTTTTTTTTTTAAGGAAATATTTACATTGACCACAAGAGTTATTGAGAAGTGAGCGAAATATCTATCCTCATAACATTTGTTATAGAAATGTTTTTCAAAAAATGCCAGACAATTAAGAGAAAATTTTGTACATCTGAAATCACCTAAAACTGGACTGCATGCACAAAGCACTGAGTCTGATCCCCAGAACTGGGAAAAAAAGAAGAAGAAGAAGAAGAAAGGAAATAATTCAGAACTGGTCAACTGGCTTTCTCCCCCTCTCAACAGTTCAGGGTTTTTGTTATTTATTTGTAGGTCAGTTTTACTTTTCTATTAACAGTTGATAAGCCTTCCTGGTCTTGGCAGATATAGGGAAGTTTTTACAGTAGACCTAACTTTCTTTTTATTGTACTGGGGATCGAATCCAGGATGCTTTACCACTGAGCTATACGCCCAGTTCTTTTTATTTTTTATTTTGAGCCAAGGGGCTCACCAAGTTGCTCGGGGTCTCCCTAAATTGCTGAGGATAGCCTCAAAATTACTGTGATCCTCCTGCCTCAGCCTCCCAAGTCACTGCTGTTATAGACATGTACCACTATATCTGACTTCTAATTTTATTTCTAATAACTGTGTGCCAAGTGGAATCTGTGCTGGATGCTTTAGTTAAGAATTCAGAAGAGATGCAGATATTTTAATCTAATGCTCTTTTTTCTTAGGAACAAGATCATGGTGTTGGCCGGACTGGAACAGTCAATAGTGTTGGAAGTAATCAGTCTATTCCCAGTATGTCTATCAGTGCCAGCAGCCAAAGCAGTAGTGTTAACAGTCTTCCAGATGCCTCAGATGATAAAAGTGAACTAGACATGATGGAGGGAGACCATACGGTGATGTCCAACAGTTCTGTCATCCATTTAAAACCTGTGAGTATTTGGATTTCAGTGAAAAATTTCAACATTAGTGAATAATTTTTATCTGATTAGTTTAAGTAAAGGAAGTTTTCTTTTAAGTTTCAAAAGAATGAAACATATTTTAAAATAGCAGTAGTTTTGTTAATTCCTAATCTGTTAACTGCATTTAGAAAACTAAATGTTTTGAGAATACTAGAATACAGAACCAAAAAAATCTTAGAAAAAAAAATATAAAATATTATGTACTATATTATTTGAAGTTCTTACATGGAAAATAAAAATTAAAGAATAGGAAAGATGTGCATGAAATTTATGATAATGATTGCTGTTGAAGAATGAAGGAAAGAGTTGGAATGAGTGAAAATCAAAAGTGACTTTTACATTTTTCATAATTGTATCTTTAAAATAAGACTAATTGTAGAAAATTATAAATTTAGGGTTTAGGAAATGTAGGTGTAGCCTTATTGCCTTATTCTTTGTAATTCTTTTTTTTTGTGGGGGTGGATACTAAGGATGGAACTCAGGGACATTTGACCACTGAGCCACATTTCTAGCCCTATTTTGTATTTTATTTAGAGACAGGGTCTCACTGAGTTACTTAGAACCTTGCTTTTGCTGAGGCTGGCTTTGAACTTGTGATCCTCCTGCCTCCGCCTCCCAAGCAGTTGGGATTACAGGCATTGCAATTCTTTGCAATTTTGATTGTAAGTTTTTAAATTTTCTCAAAAATTTTGGAAAAGTCAGATTACTCTTCTTAGCAATTTGTAGGACTGTTTTCTTTTTTACTTCATGTCTTWCAGTATTTTAAAAGTTATAGAGTTGAGATTGTGGCTCAGTGGTAGAGTGCTCGCCTAGCACATGTGAGGCCCTGGGTTTCATCCTCAGTACCACATAAAAATAAAATAAGGATATTGTGTCCAACTATAACTAAAAAATAAATATTTAAAATAAAAATAAAAGTTATKAGGTACAGTGCCAAAAGGAAAAAACGAAATGTCCATCAACAGATAAATGGATAAACAAATTGTGCTGTACAGAATATTATTCATTTAGAAAAAGATGTGAAATTCTGAAACATGCTACTGTGTGGATAAATGTCAACATCATGCCAAAGGCTTGGCATGGTGGCGCATGTCCGTAGTCCTGCCTCGCTCAGGAGGCCAAAGCAGGAGGATTGCAAGTTCAAACTCATCCTCAGCAACTTATTGAAGCCCCAAGCAACTTACTGAGACCCTCTCTCAAAATCAAAAAATAAAAGCACCTGAGTATAGCTCTTAACTGATTTCTTCAGTGGTTAAGCATCCCTGGGTTCAATCCTCAGTACCCATCCCATCCTGCCCCCTGAAAAAAGAGAAAAAAAAAATATGCTAAGGTACATAAGCCATACAGAAAAGGACAAATACCATAATTAAACTCAAATGAAATATATGTCTATAATAGACAAATTCATGGGGATATTTAGAGGTTACCATGGGATGAATGGAAGGTGAAGTGCAAGCTGTTGCTAATGGATGGAGTCTCTATTTGGGGTGGTGAAAAAGTTTTGGAAATAGTGGTGATGGGTACACAACATGAAAATATAGTTAATCTGGGTTAAAATGGCAAGTTTTTTGTTAGACATTTTAACATACATGAAAGCTACTAAGAATGATGGTTATGCAGTAGTAGTATTCAGGGAAACTTCCATTTAATTTTCATATTCATAGGCAATGGAATCAGTCATAAGATTATTTCTGTAAGTAGATGGTTGTTWCTTAACTGACTTCTTCAGTTAATGAATGGAAGTTTATAAGTAACAGTATCAGTTCTTTAATATTTAAAACCATTTTTTAATTGCTTGTTTTGTACAGAAGGCAAAGGTAGTTTTAAGCTGTATTGCTTCTAAAATCCAAAAGCCTTTATGTCTTTAATTTTTATTACTATTAAAGTATTAGCTACATGTTTCATTATGTTTGTTTTTAAGTGATATTAAAACTTTTCAGTTTTACTTGTAATATGTAGGTTATAAGCCAACCATGTACATTTCCTTATCCTGAATCTGGTTTTTTTTTTTTTTTTTTTTTTTGGTACGAGGGATTTAACTCAGGATTACTCAGCAACTGAGCCACATCCCCACCCCTGTTTTGTATTTTATTTAGAGACAGGGTCTCACTGAATTGCTTAGCCCCTCACCATTGCTGAGGCTGGCTTTGAACTTGCAATCCTTTTGTCTCAGCCTCTTGAGCTACTGGGATTACAGGTGGGCGCCACCACGCTCTGTTCATTATCCTGAATCTGTATATTACTTCATACACTGTGGAAACAATTTCTCCTAATTCTAGTTGTGTTGAAGATAAAATGACAGCATTCTCATTTAATTTTTTTTAACCTTTATTTTATTTATTCATTTTATGTGGTGCTGAGGAATGAACCCAGCACCTCGCACATTCTAGGAGAGTACTCTACCGCTGAGCCACAACCTCAACCCATCATTTTCTTAAAATACATTTTTTAGTTGTTGATGGGCCTTTATTTAATTAATTTATTTATATGTAGTGCCTCACATATGATCACCACTRAGCCACAACTCCAGCCCTTATTTTTTTGTTTTTGATTTCTAAAATTATTATTAGATTTATTGATCTAGTTGACTTTGAACTTTAATTTTCTTGAAGTTTCAAACAGTTTGTGTAGCTTACATGATATTGTCTCTTTCTTTGCTTAGGAAGAAGAAAATTACAGAGAAGAAGGAGATCCTAGAACAAGAGTATCAGATCCACAGTCTCCTCCCCAAGTATCTCGCCACAAATCACATTATCGTAATCGAGAACACTTTGCAACCATAAGGACAGCATCACTGGTATGTATTTCCCCAGGCCCAGATGGAAATATAGTTTTTCATGTTGAACTTTGGTCCCAAATATAAATATATCTTATTTTTTGTACTGGAGTTTGTTTTTCAAAACTTTCATTCAACATTTAAATGCCTATTATGAGAAGAATGTGTAAAGCACACTGAAATATGGTAAACTAACAATGTTCAAGACATGCCCACAAATAAGTAATCTTTTGAATATATCAAATACTTAACATAATTACAAAGTACTAAATAGTTATTCAGATAACTTTTTATTAGGAACATAAAAGAAGCATTTATCAAACAAATTGTAGGAGCATTTAGAATTATTAGGTTTTTAGGGCTGGGGTGGTGGCTCAATGGTAGAGCACTCGCCTGGCATGCGCAAGGGTCTGGGTTCGATCCTCTACACCACATAAAAATAAATAAACAAAATAAAGGTATTGTGTACAACTAAAAAATAAATATTAAAAAAAAAGAATGATTAGGTTTTACATACAGGGAGAGGAGAAATGGTATTTCCATGTAAGAATTGACAATAAGGTAACATGAGGGTAACCACTAAAAAGGTAATGTTTGGAAATTGCAAATAATGCTATTTGGTATGCTGTAATCCTAATTTCCCAAATAACAATAAATATAGATTTATTTGTCCATTACAAACATGTTATAGTGGGGCATTTAAAACTCTGTTCAGTTAGACACGTGGGACCAAGAACATAATAAAGGATGCTAGGAATAGAAAGAAATTACATTAATATATCATGTGAAAAGTAGGTTATTAGAGAATAAGACAGGGAAAAAAAGTTATTTGAGTCATCTAAATTACTACATAATAAGCAGAATTACTGTATAATCAGATTTTATAAATCCTATGCCCATGAATCTGTATGGCATGTGGAGTCAGAAATGCCATATGGAGTCCACATACATGCACTGTTATTCTGCAACATGAAAATAATGCTTTAAACAGAGCAAATGGCAGAGATTATTTATTTATTTGTTTATTTATTTATTGATGTCTCTTGATAGATGTATAAAGCAGGTTGAGATCTGGGGAAAATCTCTTTGTGACATGGCATGTATTAAATGTTCTCAGGCAAGTCTGAATCTCATATGTTGGCTTCCTCAAATTAATAAATAACATTTATAGATTTAACAAATCAAAAACCCGAAAAAGAGTTTTATATATTTGGCAGAGGGGAGTACCAGGGATCACTTAACCACTGAACCACACCTTCAGGGCCCCCTCCTTTTAATTTTTATTTTAGTTTTTTAGTTGTTGATAGCCTTTATTTATTTATTTATTTATTTTTATTTATATGTGGTGCTGAGAATTGAACCCAGTGCCTCACACATGCTAGGCAAGTGCGCTACCACTGAGCTACAGCCCCAGCCCCACCCCCAGCCCTTTTTGTATTTTATTTAGAGACAGAGTCTCACCAGGTTGCTTAGGGCCTCTATAAGTTTCTGAGACTGGCTTTGTACTCCTGATCCTCCTGCCTCAGTCTCCTGAGCAGCTGGGATTACAGGCGAGTGCTACTATGCCTGGCAAGAGTTATATTCTTGAACCTAGTATTTCCACATATTGTAAATAAAATATTCAGAGAGTATGTAGCTTTTTGCACAAATAAACATTGCTCTGTTATATTTTATGAGTACTTTGCCTTCTTTTGTTTTGAATTTTTCTTCATATAATAAAATGTACAGATCTTATGTAGTCAATTTGAGGAATTTTTAAATTGATATACACGTAAGTTAACCATTACATAAAACAAGAGATGTCAAATTTCCTTCATCTTACAAAGTTATTCTTATACTTCTTTTTAGTTAATTTCTCATTTCCATGAGTATCACCTTTTGTTTCATAATATGTTTTGAATGTTTGGGATTTTATATGAGTGGAATAACACAGAATAATGAATGCATGTTATTGAATAACATGTTATTGTGTTCAACAATGTTAATTTTTTTCTCTAAAAAACCTTTTTATTGTGTGAATATACCACCATTTAAAAAATATTTTTTTATTAGTTATTGATGGATCCTTATTTATTTATTTGCTTATATGTGGTGCTGAGACTTGAACCCAGTGCCTCATACATGCTAGTCAGTTGCTGTACCACTGAGCCACAACCCCAGCCCCCTACCACCATTTGTTTATCTATTCTTTTCTTGGTAAACTTTTGTTTTGTTTCTGTTTTGGAACTGTTATGCATAAGATTGCTGTAAACATTTGTGACCAAGCCATGATGTGAACGTGATCTCTTTTTTTAAATTATAAGTTTTGGTGGTACCAGGGATTGAATCCTTTTTAATTTTTTGAGACCTCACTAAATTGTCCAAGCTGGCCTCGAATGTGGTTTTCTGCTTCAGAAATACAGGTGTGTGCCACCATGCCCAGCTGGTCTTTTAATTTCGTTTGAGTAAATACCTAAGGGTAGAATTGTCAAGTTATAGGGTATATGTTTCTTTAATTTYATAAGAAACTTTGTCAGTTTTCAAAAGTGACTGTAGCATTTCACATGCCAATTAGTAATGTATAAGCATTCTAGTTGAAGTCTGAGGCAGGAAGATCACATTTGAAGCCAGCCTGGGCAACTTAGTGAGTTGTCTCAAAATAAGATAAAATGGGCTGGAAATGTAGTTCAGTACTAGAGTGCTTCCTTAGCATGCTTAAGGTCCTATGTTCAATCCCCACTACCACCAAAAAATAAACAAAACAACCAAATAAAAAAACAAATCACTAAAAACATCTGGTAAATTAAATACAAGTGTTGGTGAAGATGCAGAGAAAAGGGAACTCTTGTACATTATTGATGGGAATGTAAAACAGTTTAGGAGTTCCTCAAAAAAATTTAACAGTAAGTGGCAGGAATGATMGCTTGTGCCTGTACTCCCAGAGACTCTGAAGGCTGCGGCAGGAGGATCACAACTTCAAGGCTAGCTTCAGCAACTTAGTGAGACCCTGTCTCAAACTAAAACGTGCTAGGTATGTGATTCAGTAGTTCAGTGCCCCTGGGTTCAATCCCCAGTTTAAAAAAAAAAAAAAGAAACAGAAAGAAAGAAAACTAACACTAGAGCCAGGCATGGTGGCACACACCTGCAATCAGAGCTTTTTGGAGGCTGAGGCAGAAGGATACCAAATTCAGGTCCAGCCTGGGCAACTTGGTGAGACCCTGTGTCAAAAAATAAAGTAAAAAGTGCTAGGGATTTAGCTTGGTGATAGAGCACTTTGGGTTCAATACCCAATACCACCAAAATTAAATATATAAAAAACTAACAATAAGAACTACCATATGATCCAGTACTCCCATTCCTGAGCACATAACCGGAGGAACTGAAATTAGTATGCCAAAGGAATATCTATACCCTTGAGTGTATAGTAGTATTCACAAAAACCAAGATGTGGAATCACCCTAAGTATCTATCAATGTCTATCAATGGACAATCAATGAATAAAGAATGTGTTCTGGGGGCTGGGGAGGATGGATCATCATTTACAACAACATAGATAAATCTAGAATATGCTATGCTAAGTGAAACAGTCCCACTTACATGTAGAATCCAAAACGGTTGATGTCATAAAAGGAGCTAGGTAGGGGTGAGAGGGAGGGAATATGTAGAGTTGTTTGTGTAAGCACACACAGATTCAGATAGACAGGAGGACTAAGTTTTGAGATCTGTTGCACAATAGGGTGACTATAGTCAATAATGATATATTGTATATTTTGAAATATCTAAGACTAAATTTCAAATGTCTCACTATGAAAAATGATTGGTAAATGAAGTGATGAATATGTTAATTAGCTTGATTTAATCATTCTGTATTGTATATCTATGTCAAAACGTCACATTGTACTCCATAAATGTGTACAATTATAATGTCAGTCAAACATAATTTTATAGTCTAGGAGTATAGTTTGGTGGTAAAACAAACCCTTAGATTGTAATAAAGCCATGGGGTTGATTCCCAGCACTGCCAAAAAATAATACTAACCTTTATAAAAAACTGAAAACAGACAAGTTCATGTACATACATATTCATAGAGGCACTGTTTACAATAGCCAAAAGGAAAGGGTCAAATGTGTGTCAGTGGGTGAAAAACTAATTATGATATATTTACAATGAAATATTTTTCTGCTATAAGAAGAAATGAGGTAATGATACATTCAACAACATAAATGAACCTCAAAAACACAATGAAATATATTTAGACATGTATCACTTTCTTTCTTTATTTTTTTTTAATATGGTGCTGAGGATCAAACCCAGTGCCTCACACATACGAGGCAAATGCTATACCACTGAGCCACAACCAACCCTTACATCACATTCTTTAGTGAAATATTGAGAATAGGTAACATTGAAACAGAAAGCAAATTGTTGGTTAGGTTGCTAAGCAGAAGAATGAGAAATGCATGCCAGGTGTGGTGGTGCACACCTCTAATCCCAGCAGCTCAAGAGGCTGAGGCAGGAAGATTGCAAGTTCAAAGCCAGTCTCAGCAACTTGGCAGAGACCCTGTCTTAAAAGAATTAATAAAAAAGGTCTGGGGATGTGGCTCAGTGGTTAAATGCCCTGGGTTCAATCCCTGGTACCAAAAAAAAAAAAAAAGAAAAAGAAAAAAAAATGAAGGAACTGTGAGTAGAATTTTCTTCTCAGGTGATACATGTTTTCTAAATAGATAAAGCGCATGTATTTTWAAAAAAACACAGTGAATGGATTAAATGTCACTGAATCTTTCAATGTAAAATGATTAATTTTAGGTTCTATGAACTTTATCTTAATTTAAAAATCGTATTTATATATTTTTTCTTTGTGATCATTGGTGTTTACATCCTGCCCATGAAACGTGCTTACTTTCAGGGTCATGAAGATATTTTATGATTTCTTCTGCTTTATTATTATAGATTTTATAGTTAGATAAGAAATCATTCTCAAAAATAAGAAAGAAAGATATCATCCTCTTCACATTAGTTTTTATACATTAAGTGAGAGATGTGAGAGTTAAGGTTTGTTTTTTTTCTGTGTAAAGAAGCACTTCCTTTAGAGGCTGGGATTGTGGCTCAGTGGTGAAGCGCTTGTCTAGCACATTTGAGGCCCTGGGTTCAATCCTCAGCACCACATAAAAATAAATAAATAAAGGTATTGTTTCCAACCATTTCCAAAACATAAAAAAAAAATGTTTAAAAAAGACAAAAGAAGAAGAAGAAGAAGCACTTCTTTTAGCAGGATTTGTTAAAAGTGCTTTTTTTTCCCTCTGAATTAACTTGAGTTTTTGGTAGAAAAATGTGTGGTCTGTTTCTAGATTTTTTGTTGTTGTCCTTGTTGAAAGGGAGTATTGTATGTTGCCAGTACCAGTGTCTTGATCATGGTGCTCTCGTCCTTCTGCTTTGTTTTTTCTAAAGATTATTTTGGCATTCTAGGTCCTTTACATTCCCACATAAATTTTAGAACCTGTTTGTCTGTTTCTTTAAAAGACCTGCAGGAAATTTAATTGGAAACTGCAAYATTGGGATCTCTTAAATTAATTACCTAGTTGATTAATAGTAGGATGGTCTAAATGCTTTTGAAAGAAAATGTTTTGCTTTCTTTTCTTTTTTCTCCATTGTTTGTATGTCTAGGTTACAAGGCAAATGCAAGAACATGAGCAGGACTCTGAGCTTAGAGAACAGATGTCTGGCTATAAGCGAATGAGGCGGCAGCACCAAAAGCAACTGATGACTCTGGAAAATAAGCTAAAGGCTGAGATGGATGAACACCGCCTCAGATTAGACAAAGATCTTGAAACTCAGCGTAATAATTTTGCTGCAGAAATGGAGAAACTTATCAAGAAACATCAAGCTGCTATGGAAAAAGAGGTAGGTGGCTATTGAAGTATTTTTAAGTTTATTTTAATTTTAGCTTTTGTCTATCTCATAATTAACCAATATAGCATTTTAATATTGGGGTATCTATTCCCAGGAACCAAATAAACTGCTTGAAGAAAGGGATAAGTATTTATATAATTTGTATAAACTGTTCTGTGAATTGATGATAGATCAGTCACCAAAAAATATGGTTCATGTGTGTTTTTCTAATTTTGTGACTTAATATATGCATTTTGAGTATGAAAAATATTATGATATATTTTAATACAAGCACTAGATCTGGGAAATAATAGGCATAGGATCATTTCCTGATACTTGATAGCTTTATAGTATCCCATTGGATAAGTCATTCAACCATTTTAGTCTTTTGATACCCTGCTTATCTGAGAACTTTGGTAAATCTTATCAATAGTTGATTTAGCTCTCAAAAAATTATTCATGAGGGCTGGGAATGTGGCTCAGGCGGTAGCGCGCTCGTCTGGCATGCGTGTGGCCCGGGTTCGATCCTTAGCACCACATACCAACAAAGATGTTGTGTCCGCCGAGAACTAAGAAATAAATATTAAAAATTCTCTCTCTCTCTCTCTCTCTCTCTCTCTCTCTC